TATCAGTATAAGTTAAAAATGACATTTTTACCCTTAATAAATCAATCATACATAATAACTTATTAAGAATAAAATAAAAAAACTCCTTTCAAACCCAAACCTTTTTTTTTTTTTTTGGTCATTACGGACCAAAAAACATCAACCTCTTTTAAAATTACCAAACGCTGCTCCAAGCAAAGATCAACTTTTGTTTTGGCCGGTGAGAGACAAAGAGGCAGAGGAGTACAAAAGGATAGTGTAAAACAAGAAACAAAAGATTATGACCATACCTAATCTTTCTTTCATATTTTTCTTTGGTACTAGTGCATTTACTCCATGACTTTGTGTTGAAATATGATATGATATGATATATATATATACACATATATAAATGCAAATCAGAGTGCTTGATCTTTTCATTTTCTTAGAACATTCATAACAAATTAGCAAACACAATTAATATCTTGAAATGAGATCCATTGCCAATCTTGTTCTTACACTTTTGATTTTGCTTCAACTGGGCATCAGAGTCGAGAGCCAACATGTAGAAGTCCACATCAAGAACGAGCTAGGCGACAACAGAAGTATGGTCATCAATTGTAGATCAAGAGACGATGAGCTATGCTATGCAAATTGTTGAAGATGGTGTGGCAATCAAATGGAGTTTCAATGTTAACTTCTGGGGATCGACGTTGTTTACTGTGATGTGCATTGGGATGACACGGTGTGGTGGTACCATTTTGATGCATATTCAACATAGAGAGATTCCAGTAAGTGTCAAACACAATGTTGGTGGATCATATACAAAGAAGGATTATTACTTGGTTATAATATTCAAGAATACCAGAGGTGGGAGCAGTTCTTCTTTTCTTTGACAAACGAATAATGCCGCAAATGACTCCCTTTCGTTTCCTAGTTTAGGAAGAGGGAAATGAGAGAAAAGGAAAAGAAATAAATTCCAACCAAATGAAAATTTTTCTTTCTCATAAAATGAATTCCTTTTTGTTAACTAAAAATGAAATTCATCATATGCTATAACACTATAACTCGTATTTAGGGATGTCAATGGAGCTTTGCGGGGCTGGGGAGTCATTCCCCGTCTTCGTTCCCGCAAATGACGGGGATGGAGGTCCCCGCGAAAATTTTTAACAGGAAGCAAATTTTGCCCCCCATCCACGTTCCCTGCGGGAATCCCATTCTCCACTAATTAATATAAAAAAATAAATATTTTACATTTAATTAATTAATAGTCAACTATAATAAATAAAATTTTAAAAATTCAAGTATAATTAATTAAAATTCTTTAAATATAAATTATCCAAACATAAATAAAGACTAATATAACCTAAATAAAGATCAATCTAACATAAATAATTAAAAAGTTAATAATAGGTTCGATAAAATTTGATTAAATTTAAATTTTATTGAATTGGATTTAGGTTTGAAAGTTAAATTAAATTTAAAATAAAACTAACTCACATGTTTTTTTTAAATTTTTCGCAGGGATAGGGATCCCCACAGGCCCCGTGGGACGGGAAAAATTCTCCACGAATTTTCAAGGGAAGAAAATACTCCCCGTCCTCACCTCGCGAGGAGAAATATTCTTTCCCAGCCCGTCCCCGTAATGGGGATCCCCACGGGGCCCATGAAGATCAGGGTAAATTATCACCCCTACTCGTACTCAAGGCTATATTAATTAAAAATTTTATTTTTCTCATTTTGAAAAAGAAAATTATGGCTACAGTCATGTTTCAAAAAAAAAAATTAATGTTTTACTAATTAAAAAAAAAAACAATTATGATTCTAATTTGAAAATTGGGCTTAGGTTAGTTAGTCACTGGTAACTATTGGGCATGGGCCTTGGCCCTGCCCGTCATCTCTCTCAGGAATTCGTTTCAGTCCGGCCCATATTTAAAAAAGAGGCCCCTCAATTGGTAGAACGTGGAAAAGTTGAAGATTGGTCGCTGCTATTCCTCTCCGGGGGTCCACCGCCGGCCGAAGGAAAGTGTGTGATTGGTAATCGGAATTTCTTCAGAGAGAAGTATGAGGAAGACAGTTCTTTGTAGAGCCCTGGTGAAACACCACATCAAGCCGAAGAGAAAGGAAGGTTCTACAAGAGCCAGCAAAAGAAAGTTTTGGAATCGATCACAGACAGCAGCGACATCGACGCCGTCATCCAGTTGGCCGAGTGTCTTCTCTGTCGATAACCCAATCCCCCCAACCCCATCAATCTCTGAGCTTTCTCTCCTGTTTCTCTTAATCTCTTGCTTCGGCTGTTCCTTGATTTTTGGTTCTTTGATTGAGCTTAACGTATGTGTATGGTTTTAGGAAACCCATTAGCTTTCTGGGTATTTATTTATTAGGATGTAGACTTGAAGATGGAGTTTAATGTTATGATTTCTCTGTTCTTTATCTGGTTTCTTCTGTTGTCTAAGATGAACCCTCTGGCTGTTTTCAAACTGTAAAATTGTTGGACCAAAATTGATGGATGTTTCAATCTTTTTTTTCATATTTCTGAATTCAGCTTTGAGAATTAGGAAATTTTCAAAATTAGAAGCTACTTAAGCTTGAGAATATGGTCATACTTTTCTGTTTTGAACATGTTGCAGTTGTTCATCTTCCTTTTATTTATGAGATTTGTGGCTTTTAGAACTGATATTTACATTGTTTCTTTGATGTCTATTTGTTGTGATTAGGGATACAAGTTCTAGCCCTGATATTTACATTTGGTTGTATAGCCAATCAAATGCCGAGGCATGTAATTGAGGATGACTACAAGATTAAACTACCAAAACTGAAACCATATGAGCCACAATCCAGGCCGCCACTGGCACCTCAACTTATGAGAACTTATTGTGCTTCTTGTGGGTATGTTCTGTCAAGTGACGAGTGGACTACCTGATGAAACTAAACAGCCTGCCAGATATTGAAGGATTACAATCATGGAAAGCTGCCTCACCATGAAATGTCACCCAGTATGTGTGATGAAGATGTTTCTGTTAGACATGGTGGAAAATCTAGCTGATCCAAACTGCAGCAGAAACACCTGATGATGAGGAATCTGAGGATGTCGAAGATGGTCTGGAAAATAAAGATGAAAGTGCACCTGTTCTAGAACATGTGCTGAACGAATGGACGATCTTAATTCATTTGACCTGGCCAATGTGCATATGCTTCCAAGAAGGTTAAAGTTAAAAGGTCCAATGCGTCTCGTAAGCAAGCAACAAAGGCCAGGAATGATGATGGTGATGGAATGCCAGTAGTGACTAGTGAGAGTCTTTCAGAAGCAAGTAAACAAAGGCCCTCTAAGAGTCAGATGAGGCATCCACTGAGAACAGTAGAAAAAAGAGGAAAAAAAAAGGGGGGGAAACCAGAGCTTTAAAAAGTGAGAAGATGCTTTTAAGGAGATTTCTCCTTCTCCCGTACGTAGTTTGCTGCTGCTGCGCTTGGATCTCCATCGTTGTCTTGACAAGGAGAAGAGATGGGGAAATATATTCAGTGATTCAGATATAACTCATGCAATCAAATAGTGTTGAGATGTAGTTGTTAATTTAGAACATGCATGGTTGGTGTATATCTTTGTTTTTCTTCAAGTATAACAAGGGGAAATATTTACACTTTCATATCCATAAAATCAAGAATCGATTTGTCCTACAAAACATGAATTGGAACTTTGACAAGATAAAGCCCAATTAATGGAAATCCATCTTGAAGGGAGCACGAAGAGACATGAAATCGGGCCAACACATACATATATTGATACATACTCGTAAGTAATTAACTCGAGCCATGAAAACCCAACAAGAACAAAGACAAAGTGATGTCTCATCAGCTAGTGTTGGCAAGTCTTGGTCCTCGGAACCACCACTTACGTGCACGAATTGGACATCAACTACCTAAACCTTTTCCCTGTCCCTAGGCCCAGTGTCCAGTTGATGTTTCAATATCACCAAGGTAGGGATTTTGGATCGAGTAGATACCATAATAATGCCTTCAAGATTTTTGATAAATCTCCGTTTTTATGACCTGCCCTTTTCCCTGACCCTTCTTAGGATAATGTTTGCATTTATACGCCATGCCTTAGGTATAATTATCAAGATCCTCTAGGATATGAAAAAGACACTGTTGTCACCAAGCTCTTTACGGCTCATAGCTTTGAGATGCATTGTTTTTGTTTGAGTTATTTAGTATATAAGTAAGGTGGGAAAAAGAATAAATGAAATTTGTCTTCTTTCAATCTTCTTTTTTTTTTTTTTGTATTAACTTCTTGATATTCAATAATCACATTAAGTTCCGATTAATTCAGAATCAAATCATGTTGGACTCCATTTGAAGAAACTCTCTCAACACCTGTTTCTCCATTCACAAGATTCATCTTCCTTCAATCTCTCATAAATTAATAGCTATCAATCAACTAATTCCTAGCATCTTAACCAAATAGTGACTTAAATAGGTATACAATGATAACTCTAATCACTTTTGTCCCCTCTATTGTTTAACCACCTGGAACAACATGATAATCACATAGAACTTTGTTTTTATGGATGCTACGCTGGATATAAGGTTATATTCCACAAATCATATGCTGTCGGCATAATTAATACCCACTTGAAATTCATTGCTTTGGTGATTTGATCGAGTTTATGAGCACATTTAGAAGAATTTTTGCCAACTGAAAATGTTTTGCAGGATATGCTGAGCTACCCAGAAGAAATTCTAATTCTATAATTAATGATCTCTTCAAAGTCTTAATCAATGATTCTCACCCATCTTTTAAGCCAATTTGATGTAACACATTTAAATTGCAAATAACTTGTTAATTCCTAATAAGGATACCAATCAAGAGAGTTAGTAAAGTCCTTAATTTAGTGGTTAATCAAAGACCTCAAATCCAATACTTGCATTCTAGTTCTAGTAAAGAATAGGGACATAATACCAATAACACAACATACTCACAAGGGGTCTTAATTATATTCAAATCATGATATCCTTAATTGACACATGATTTTGTTAATTAGAGTTTCATATTAATGTTTAAAAATTAACACAAATAATCAAATCAAAAAATTTTTTTATCTTAAATTACATAATAAATAACAGTCATCTCTTATTTTTTAACTTAATATACTTGTGTATCATATTATTCAACTTCATGATCATTTATTTGTATTAAACGAAAATTACTACTAAACTATTAAGTAGTTGACAATCAAATCAAGGATTAAAATCAAAGATTAAAGTCACTCTATATAAAGACATGCCATGGCGAAACAGGATAAGGTGGTATCCAGTTATAGGACAACGACTAGGGAGGATAAAGTTCTAGAAAATTTGATAAATACTGCCAACATATATACTATGAAACTTTTGAGTATGAATAGCAAGAAATTCTCCGACAATATCCTCTAATTAATCCAAGAACATAAAGAAAGGAAGGTATTTGTACACTTGTAAGCAAAACACACGTACAAAGACACACAAGAATATACCAAGATTCTGCAAGGCTGGCCACCAATAGCAAAGCGGGGGAGCGAATGTGATGGTGTTGACAAGAAAGAAAAAAAATAAGCCACCGCCATCGCTAGTCTCACCTTCAACGATGGGCTAGACGGACTGTGGGTTAAAGGCCTTTGGTTTGGACCACAACAACAACCGCAGCCCCTAGCTCAAGCCAGCAAAAGAAGAAAAGTAGTGTTTATTTTTTTAACGATCCTATTTAATGCACTGGTTCCCATCAAAACTTTACAATTAAACATGCGTGAAACATGCGTGGACAAGAGTAATACTGGCATGAGTGACCTCCTAATAAGCACCCCCCTCGTTTTTTTTTTTATTATTAATTTTTTTATATTTGATAATTATATTAAATTTTAATTAATTTAAAATTAAATTATATCGGATCTTATTTAAAGAAAACTCTTTTAATGTCTATTTTTTCATTAACAAAATTCGAATTTAAAATTTTATTTAAAAAAAATTGATTTTTTCTTACTAAAACTAACATGTCGTTGGTTGTTCGTTCTCATTTTATTTACTAAAAAAAAAAGAAACTGACTTAAGTGTCGCAATGTGGCAGGACCATGTGGCACTCTGTCATTCGCAGAATTGGGCTCCCAAAAGCATAGGGGGGGTGGAATTCTTCTAAACATATTCTTGTGTCCTTGCACTACCCTTTTTTCTTTTGCTTTCTTTGCTTCATTGCCATCGGATGGATCATCCAATCACTGTAATAATAGGGGGGAGAAGATCTTCTTTCTGATCGATGGAGAATAATCACACAGAAAGGGGGTGCTTTTTTTTTTTTTTTAATGCAAAAATGATGTCACATCACACATATGACAATCCAATGACAATTTAGTAGACAAGATTGTTGAGAATTTTTGTTACCAAGAATAAAAATATAGTCACTTTGATTATTATTTATATTATAAAAAAATTTATTTATTCATTATATTATATATTTTGTTATGATAATAAGGTTTTTGTTTTGTATGTAGATATTATAGGGTCTGTTATTGATAATAAAATTTTATGTTGTTAAAAAAATAATATCAATTTTGATATGTTAGACTTTGAGAGTGTTTAACAAAATTTAAAAGGAATTTGTTTTTAAAATAAATTATTTTCTTATAAATCTGAAATTTTATTAGAGGGAATTCAAAATTGACTTATAAAGTAGTTTTTTAGATAAATTTTAAGAAAGTTTAGTTAGGTGTGTAGTTTTTTTTAAATTTATTTAAAAATTACTTTAAAAATTAATTTTTAAATTATAAAAAAAATTTATTTTTAAATAAATTACTCTTTAAATTTTGCCAAACACTTTTTTCTTTCAAGTATTGTTTGTTGTTCTTTGTTATAAAAGCCTATATGCAAGAAGCAAAAAAACAAAAAGGGGCAAAATTTTGTTGGGGGGAAAGGAATATCTTCCCTCTTTCCTTCCTTCTTCCCATGTCTTTCCCTTTTGCCGTCTTTTTCCCTTGATTTTCCCAGAAAAGAAATTAATCTTGTGATGAACGTTTTTTCAGAAACGAGAGGTCCTGCTTATGCTGACATCATTCCATTTTTAGAGCCATAAATCTGGCCGTCTGGGATAAACACCAACATTTTGCAAACAATTAACCTTTTTTTGCCTGCTTAATTATATGATTAGACCTGAAAAGCGCTTTTTCATGCAATTTTTTTTTTTAAAATAAAGGTATAGATAAAAACAAGTGGTTTAACTCATGTAAGAGAAAAAGAGACAGAAAAAAAAGAAGTTACATAAATTTAAAACTTTATTAATAAGTGAATATATATTTTTTTTTTACATTTAGAAATTTAGTTGGTGAACTTGAACTCTGAAGGCCTTTCTCATATGTTTATATATATATATATATATTTATATATTTATTTAAACAGTCTACAATTTGGGGTTAGGATAGTGATTTGTATACTTTCTGATCCAATACTCGGTTCAATACTTTTCAATTTAGTCACATAACTAAACTGAAAAATGTTGAATTAAATATTGAACCGAAAGTGTACCAATCATTTCCCTTTGGGGTTAATCAACAAATTTAAGCACTTTAAAAATTTGAAGTGAATCATTAGATCTGAAGGTTCGATTCCTTATATGTTTATTATTTTCTAATACAAAATTTTGAGCAATTAATTTTAGCTCAAATTAAAAATTTTTAATTAGTAAGTTGACCTATCGCTTTTGCTGGTTTTGTGTTCATGGTAAAGACAACGTTTATCATGGCAACTAGTACTATTAAGTGTACTGTTTGTAATGTTGTGATGATTTAATGATTGTTGGTCATATATTTAATTACAATTGATACACGTATCCATATTTATTTGGACCTAGCGAATTAAAGTTAGTTAGACCTCTAATCAAAACCTTTTTATTGCTAGACCATAAGGCATTGATCACGATGTATTTTTCTTTCGGTAATCTCCAATGAAAGAAGACCTTTAAGCCTTTTCTAGGGTAGGACGTAGAATTTCACTCATGCATGGCCCATTATGTGGGTACTTTCTGTGGTATTAGCCGACTTGGAATTAATATATTAATATTGAATTAATAAATGAATCTATCCTAGCAAAAAAGGTAACTTACATTATATTTGAGATCTCCATTCAATAAGTAGAACTTGTCGATTAAGCACAAGCACCAAAAAGATCCAAACATTTCATCAACCCTACATTAGTTAAGATATTTTTTCTTAACAAACAAATGAATGAATGCATGTATGAACGCATGATATATATATATTTTAATTAAATGCATGAACTTAGCTACATTATCATCAGAAGTTAAAGTTCATGAGTATTTGAGAAGATCTACCAATACAATTGACCATATTCATGTATGGCATATATTGCAATGTCGCTTTCAATTTCTTATTGAAGAGAATGTGATTTTTAGTGACACATATGAGTCATAATCAATCACTACTATTAACTTAAACTATAAAGATTTAGTTAAAGTAATATTAGTCTTTTTGCAAAACTAATTACTTTCTTGGTCAAATTAAGGAGTAATGCAGCAAATTGGCAGTTCTCCTTTTTTGCCTTACGTGCAAAACACTTGCAAAGAGGGCGCATTAAGTGATTCAACTTTCAAAAAGAATGGAAGGGCAAATGACAAGAGTTAGGCTTTGTCTCTCAAATATAATAAAATATTACTTTATAAGTATCTTGGTTTAAAATTTAAATTGTACTAAATAACAAAATGAGAATTATTAAATAAAAAGTTTCTATTATTACAAAATTTATTTCACATTCAATAATTAATCTTATACAATCTTGATTATGCAATATTATTTTTCTTTTAATTTACATATCCATCCATCAACAATGTAAATAAGAGGACTTGTTAATTAAGTAAAGATTTGATTAGACATAAAATTAGTTTTAAAAAAGGTTTTTAATTATGTTTCCGTACACATCCATTTCATTCTTTTGACAAGACTTCTCCTACTACCACTCATATTTAAAAATGTTTCAATAAAAGGGTAGGAAAAGCATTTTAAGTGAAAACTAATTAAGCACGAAGGCA